ATTTTAGTAGCATTTTTAAACATACTGACATTAAACGTGCCAGAAATTAGTTTCTAGTGCTATTTTCCAATAACTTAGCTTGGAAATTATGTTTTTATTCTTTTTTTTTTTACATCAAATAATGCCCTATTGAAGAAAATTTGATTCCTCTTAATGAATAGTTTTATTGTTTTCCTTACTTTACAGACTCAAAATACAAATAAACTGTTGGTTTTAGATGGCAACAGATTGCTATGGCAGAGAGTTAAAAAAAAAATTGCTTGTGTTTTATTTAAAAGTCGTGTTAGGTTTGTGTCTGCTTTTGCACACTGATAAAAATACAAACAATCTACCTCTGATTACCCTCTCCACAACTACGACCAAGGACATGCCTAAAAGACGCAGGAAACAAGCAGTGTCCTTTTACAATTCATGTCCACAAGTCCACAAGAATGTTGAAATATCCTCCTTACTGACTGATCTAAAAACAAATCTATAAAAGAAATGACAAGTTTTTTTCTCCCATTTCTTCCGATATTCTCCTTTTAATCTTATCAGTTTCCACAGATTATTTAGACTAATGCTCAGTTCCCTTCAGCCACACAATACCAAAGATCTGGTCATTAACAAATGAAAGTGTAAATATTAACATAGCCATGAATCTTACCTGCAGTCGATCAAACTCCTGAAGAGGTTGAATTCTGCCTCTGCTTTCCTTCTCATTCTTCCAGGACAGTTTATCTTTCCCCCCATGTCTCCATGGCAACGAGTGCCATACTGATCACTGAGCGATAATTAGCCAATCAATCAGCTCAGGTTTTTGTCCAAATAGCTCTGACAGTCTGTAAGAGTGGACCTCCTGGAACTCAGGGACCAGGTTCTGATCCGTCTCAGGTGTTTAAACACAAAAGAGTTAGACTTTCCTTTTTTCCGAGACAATAAAACAAGGACATCTGCCTTCTATTTAGGAAATTAGGAATGTCCTGTTGGTGAAGAAGACAAGGAGATGTGAGACTGGTAAATCGGACTCTTAGTGGTGTTTTTTCCAATTGTGTTTGAATCCATCAAAACTCTTAAGAACCTTTTTGGGTCAGAGGGGGGTCTATCATTCTCTCGCTCGGGTGAAATCCTGGACTTTGATTGAACGCCCTTGAAGAAGACACAATTAAACAACCGGACACCAACCCCCCCTGCAGAACAAGGAGGATCTAGGTCTGCTCAGATCCGACTGTTTAATTCTCTCTGTTCTGTCAACACATCTTCGTCTGGAGATGGAAGCTCAGGTTTGGTGTCACCGCAGGGGGGAGGCCAAAGAAAAGAATCAGCAGGGTCCTTAAAAGTCTGCTTCAGTCCAACTTCCACTCACAGCTGAAGGGTTCATCCCGTTTTAGGCGTGAGATAGTAGCAATCCGTTACTAATCAAACCTGCCTGAAGGGGATTAGATCCAAAACACGAACTCTGATTTAAGTCAAATCTAATTTGCAGTGCTTTGAGCCAAAAAAGGCAATGTCCATGAGACCAGCCATGGTTCTAATTAGTGTTGTGCTGATTCCATTTTTTTGGCCCCGATACCGATACCCGATACCTGGCTGCGCAGTATCGGCCGATACCGATACCATCTGTCTGAAATTGATGTGTGTGTGTGTGTGTATATGAAGAACTGCATACTACCTGGATGTAAAATATTTGCTATCATGGCTTTGTCAAGCTGCTGCCTACCTTTATGAAGCAGGAAAAAGACTAATACAAAGTGAATCCAGTAGAACTTTTTATTGCCTACCAGGAATGGATAACAATAGCTGAATGAACTTAGGCTCTTAAAATGGTAACGGTGCCCTATTTGTTTGTACTCGCTGATACCGATACCACCATTTTAGTGCTGGATCGGGGCCCCGCCTGATACTGGTATCAGTATTGGTGCAACACTAGTTCTAATGGAAGATGGAACTAGATCCAAATGCTTTAATCAATGACCCTGAATCAATAAATCAAAAGTCAGACATAACATTCAGTCAAAACAAGTTTATTTTTCTCTAAAAAAAAAAGTGTTACAAACAAAATCTCTAAACAATCTAAATGTCGTCTCATCATGAATAAACACAACCAATCAGGTTCTATTCAGAAATCAAGATTGATTCTCTGGATTTGTTGAGGTAAACACTAAAAACCTTTAAGGTGTCTATAATATGTTTTAATCAGAACCACCAGACAACAGCTAGCTGGGGTTCTGTTAGTCTTCGAGTCCATCAGTACATGAGGTCGGCTGCACCGACGCTCAGCTCTACATCTTTCTTCCCCTGGAATGGGAACTGGATCCCTGTAAGTCGAATCAGAACCAGGTTGAGTCCATGAAGGACGAGGATGATGAAGAAAACCCAAAAGCAGCTGTCGTAGCTCTCCGAGTACGTCTGAAAAACAAAATTCTCCTCCTTGAAGTTGGCGATGAGCTCGGACAGCCGGTGGATTTTCACCTCAGAGGCGAAGAGGATCAGAACCAGGCAGCTGGTCAAACCTGCTGGACAAACACAAGGAAACCATTAGGAACATAAACCAAAACCAGTCCAGACTGTGCAAGTCAACTTCTGTTACAGAAAAATTCAAAATGAATTTGAACTTTGATGGTTCTCACAGAATGACCTTTAACATTAAAGGAATAGTACACCCAAAACATGATTAGCCTTCATTTTCTACTCACCCCCATGCTGAACAACAC